GAGCAGATGTTGTGAGTCACCGAACCTTCCATGAACTGAGCTTTCAACAAGATTTCAATAAGAATTAACCGATTTTCGAAGAGATTCCAATACAAAACCAGAAAGTGAACATCAAATTCCATTTTGATATGAAACAACCCAAGAAATATTGAATTTTACCAAAATTGAGTAAAAATGAATCGCTTTCCAAAAAAGAACGACCGGGTAATTTTGTTTTTCACGTAAAAATTATTTCCACGTGATGAGTTTCCACGCGGATATAAAAGGCCTGAAGCTCTTGACTCACGTCAGTTGGCGGTGAGCTCCACTCCTCTCTCTCCGGAGAAGACAGGCGAAGGGACTACCCGAATCGCTCCGAACAGTTTCATTCAAGCCAACTTATTAGTCCCACTTATCATCCGGCTAAAACTTCAAACGAATACTCGAACAGCGAGCCACAAGAGTATAACCTCTTAGCTTCACACGGTGGTGTTCCCAGGAGATCGAGATATCAGAGATTAATGGTTAACTTGTTTGATTGAATATAGAAGGTCTCAATCAACTACAACTCTTCGAACCTCAGTAGTTTGAAATCCTTTCTCTCTGTATGGAATGGTAAGCATTGGTCGAAGGGGATATGAATGGGAGAACGATGAGGAAAAACAAAACGAAATGAGAACTTCAAGCTAATTCTAACTGTTGTAAATGGAAGGAGAATCTCTTAAACATGAACACAAGATCACACAACCTCTCTCCAGCCGCCGAACAGACCAAATGATTGAAAAACAGATTTTTCCCGCCCTGATCAGAATACAAATCTCTAACTACAAGTGACCCCCTTGTATGGACATACCCATTGTCTCAATTACTTGGATGGTTAAAGAGAGGAAAGAAATTAGTTTATTAGAAAGACTTTGTACAATTTTCAAAAGTATCTTCTACAGATGGTTTCTGATAAGCAGACCCCGTTGATTCTGACATGTCCAGCGGCGCAGTCGCATCCTGCCCTGCACACTGTAATGCATCCCTCAGGTCTTTGAAGAGTGAATTGCATATGCTTAGCAGGTCTCAAACTCATTACCACAACTACTCCGAGGATCGTACTATTTTATGAAATAAGTTCTCTAAAATCTCAAATATGCATCTTCCTTGATGCCGGACCAGACGAGCAGCACACTGGTAAGCAGTAGTACGATATACTTGGATCAACTGAACATCACCCATACAAGGTAACAACCACAACAGTTAAGGGTGCTTGTTCGGTTCTTCAAGCAAACTGCGCATGATGTCACCGTTCTACAATACTGAAGAGCATACATATGGAGCGAGTTCAAGAGAGGTAACAGCATCTGAACTCCAGTATCCACAAAATGTCTTTATGAATGGCCGTTTCAGCAAGAGTTTTTTATTTGAACGCTCAGGTAACGAGTTCCTGTGCTGAAAGAAATGTCATATCAGGTTGATCTAGTTACAACAAGAATTCCACTCAAGCATAATAAACTTCAAGAACTAACCTTTCTTAACTATCCCTTTCACTTTGTTCCTGTAATCAGTGTTGGACATGAGAACATAGTATGAACCAAATATAGGATAGAAACCCATAGAGATGAAAGCGAAATGAGAGACAACTGAGATATTCAAATTTGAAAGTCGATGTCAAAGTGAGTCCGTACCGGAATTTCCCACATTGAAGACAAAACATACACTGATAATCAAAATAGGAAAGCCTAAGCCAATTAACTCCACACCCATCTGAATCACATTGATCTCAGTAGGAGAAAAGAACCTTACCAAGTAAAGAATTCCAAAAGTCATTCTACGTTGGTTTGCTAAAAACTGAGTCGACTGTGATGACTTCGCTTGCTTTCTGATGCTCTGAACGAGGATAGAAACACAGACCATTGCAATAATCAGGTAAATCACAGTAAACAGTCCCGTATATGAGAATACCAACACAACGCCAATATCTTGGAACGATAGATCCATTCCTCGGAAAGTATACATCTCTATGGGATATTTATATGGTAGTTTCTGAAAGAACTGTCTCTACCGTTGGAAAAGATCATTACCTCGAGACAGGTTTGTCGTGCTTCTCCTCCACCGTCTTTCAAGTTCATACCAGCGAAATACAGATAAACAACTTGGGCGATCAGCTGCACGAAGAAAATTACCATAATACAGCTTTTATTTCTCTCCATTCTCAAACTCGTTGCGAACGCTCGATTGATACTGAGTAGAAGAGCGAACGATCCGCTGACTGAGATATATATGCATTACATGTGGATCTGCACTAGTTGGATACCAGTAATACATGCTACTTGAGTCCAGAGTTGATTTAAAATGCTCATTCCAAAAGCTGAGAGTAAGCCATTCACATAGCCAGATGTACAAGGAAAAAGAAGAGTCGGAGCTATCCCCAATGTAAGATAGATCTGAGTTATGGCAGATCTTCAAAGACAATGATGAAAGATTGAAATTGAGAACTCACGTGAAGTCATGTCCATGAATCACAAAGCGGGTGAAGTTGTTCAGCTTGGTTGGAACAAAGATGAGAAGAGAGAACGAGAAGATGATGATGATGAACCCAAAAAGGGATAAACAATGCATGATCACAACATAGAGAGACATCTAACTTAAGAATATAAAGTCCTCCCACTTGCTTATAGCCTACGAGAAAAGAGGTAGCTGTCAAAAATGATTTTGACTGTCTATATAAACGAAAACAACTATTTGTATTTGTTCTCGACAATCGAGTGGTGAAGCGTACCACTACATATTAGCGATACAATAGTTGAAAACAATTAACGAAGTAACAAAGGTTTGAGACATTCAGAAACACACCAGTAAACCTTTGCTTGGTAGAAGGAGAGCAGGTGAAAATTATAATTGGAACATATGAACATCTTTGAGTCGAAAAGCAACATAAATGGATGGAATACTTCTAATCTCAAGGCAGGTGCTATAGGTAAAATGCACTACTTGCAACAGAAGACGGAGAATACCTCACATAGTTATAATTCGTTTGATTACATGAATTGAATATGGAAGAAAATAGTGCAAAAATCCGTTGATTCACAGGTAAGTTGTGGTCTTCTCAAACTGTGTACTATGAGAATCTGTTTCGTGCACGACCGGTGAGTATTACCGCTGAAGCAGAGAAGGGATAACAATCGCTGTTTTCAGCATTCTTCAGTGAACTGTTAACCACCGCCCACTAGACAACTGATTCTTGAATGAAATAACTGAAGCTTTCATTCCTTGCACATGCGTGAAGTTAACAGTCGTGCTCGCGCCATTTATGGAATCCCATAACTCAGCCGATACTTCGCGAGAGGCATATAAGCCATCAAACATTTAAAATGAGTCAGTTGGCGCTGGAGCTGTCGTGCTCCACACTCCCCTCTTCCTGGAGATCCTACAAAAAGAAAAAGTGAACTTAAACTCTAAGCCATAGATGGGGTCTGAACAAGAATAGGTACGCGTCAGAACCATCAAAAAGCTGCATTCAATTCCTACTAACTCAGAAGTGTTGCATTTTAACTTGTTGATTGAAGATTAGAAAGCTGCTTTATGTTTACAGGAAAAAAATAATGACTCACTCAACTTCCGTGATTGTAATCATAAGCAATGGCAGAAGTTCTTCTGTTGTTTGTGAACAGATCCATAGACTAGACGAGCACCGATAGCCATTTTCTTCAAGCAAATGAAATCTAGAAGGTTAGGATTATACTGTCAAAACGATAAAAAATACCATCATCTGGCGACTGAAGCAACTACTATTCATTCAATTTCTGACATGCTTTGGGTTAACGAATACTTTTCTCTCATATCGCATGGTAAGATCGCACCTGTAGCGTTTGTCTGGGTAACTTTAAATATCGGACAGAATAAGACACAGTGAGCAATGCAGAAATGAAATTCCAGCTCCATCTTATCATTAACTGAGCTGTTCTAGTTGGGGACAGGATGCTTAGAACAAGTATGAAGTACAAACGAGAACAACGTGATTGAAGAAGAAGAACATTGATTTCAAATGGCTTTATTCATTGCTAGGTACAACAGTACTATCGTCAGTTCAAAACAAAGAGAAAATTTCAAACATCATAGATACAGCAGAAAGCAACTATCACCACCTCAAGTCCTAGGACCACCCGTGATGAACAACCGGACCTACAATTTCTTCGCATGAAAATGAAAACGGTTACGTATATCAGGGCACTGAGCATATAGTTCACTGTTTGGTTCAGCTGTTCAATATAGAATAGGTATGTGCTCAGCTCATTAAGCTTCAAATAACTCCTTCACTTGTCCGAACGATGTGTCATCGAAAAATAGTTCTAAGATCGCACACATATTTCTAAAGGCACGTCGTGCAACGAACAGTTCAAAGAAACTTATTTTTATTTTTCATGATGAATTGCAAGTTATTGGCTACGTTGAGAACGAAACGACTGTTCCTGTCATGACAACAGACGTTATAGGCAATATTGAAATTCCATGGCTCTGTAGCAATCTTTTCTGCAGGAGATGGCTGGGCTCTCTTCGGCAAGCTGAATACGTTTTTTTATTCATTGGTAGGTACAACAGTACTAGCAGATATGCTCAACTGGCCGCTGTACGAGATCCCAGCTGCTGCGCTGAAAGATGTTTCGTATCAAATTGATTTTGTCATGACGAGAAATACACTTAAGCAGAGTAAGTTTCAAGAACTAACCTTTCTTAAGTATGCCTCTTACTCTGTTCCTGTAATCTGTGTTGGACATGAGAACATAGTATGGACCAAATATGGGATAGATGGAAATGGTGATGAAGGAAAAATCAGAGACGACTGAGATGTACGAATTTGTGAGTCGATGTCTCAGGGAAGCATTACCCGTATTTCCCATCCTGAGAATGAAACATGCACTGGTAACTATGAATGGAATGCCCAATCCAACTATCTCGACAACCATCTGAAGAACATTGGACTCAGTGGGAGTGAAGTAGCTTACGAAGGAAAGAATCCC